ACTGACAAAAGCTGGTTTGTCACTTTGCGCCTGGAGTAAGCCACGAATCGTAGAATCAATTAGGTTGGAAAAGACCCTTAAAATCATTTGAGTCCAACTGTTAACCTAACACTGACAAGTCCACCACTAAGCCATGTCCCTAAGCACCACGTCTACACATCTTTTAAATACATCCAGGGATGGTGACTCAACCACTGCCCTGGACAGCCTGTTCCAGTTCTTGACAACACTTTTGGTGAAGAAAATGTTCCTAATACCCAATGTAAACCTTCCCTGGTGCAACTTGAGGCCATTTCCTCTCATCCTATCACTTGTTACTTGGGAGAAGAGACCAACACCCACTTCCCTACAACCTCCTTTTGGGTAGCTGTGTAGAGCAGTAAGTTCTCCTCTCAGCCTCCTTCTCTCCCGGCTAAACAACCCCAGTTCCCTCAGCTGCTCCTCACAGGACTTGTGCTCTGGACCCTTCACCAGCTTCGTTGCCCTTCTCTGGACACGCTCCAGCACCTCAGTGTCTTTCTTGTGCTGAGGAGCCCAAAACTGAACACGGCATTCGAGGTGCGGCCTCACCAGTGCCGAGTACAAAGGAAGGGCTTAATGAGTGAGTTACACATGAAATATAAATTACCCATGGTAAGTTCAGAGCCACATGGTGTTACAATTTTCTGTTCTGCACTTCAGTTTGCACAATAGTTGTGAAAGGTCAGAATATTACTGCGTGTGCTCTCTGAGAATTTAAAATTGTGATACTGTCATGACGGTTTTCTCTTGTTATAATTAAACCTTTCGCTAACTCCTAATGACACTGTACATAGGATTGTGTCACTGACACAGATGTCAGGACACATCATTTAAAATCACTAGGTCTTAGTATGGACTGAGAGGGTAATTATACTTGGTAATTTTTCATTTATTGAGACTTACCATAGAGTGGAAGGAACATGTAAAACAAACACTTTTAGATTTCTTTGCCGTGACAGCAAATGGTTTTCTGCAATGGATACTTTGTACTACAGAAACAATTGAATTTATATATGTATATATAGTGTTGATATTTAAAAATGTATTTCCAAATGTGTGTATACCTATGCTCACCTACATAGTCAACAACCAGATGGCGGAACACAGAATTCTTATTAAAGAAATACAAAAGTGTGTGTGCAAATATATGCAAATACACAGATATATTATTTATTTATGTCATAAATACATGCTTTGTAGTTTGAGCTGAAGAAAAGAATTAGGGACGCTAGTTCTAACACTTCCTGACTTCGCACCTCTATACTGATGTATCCTTTGCCATGTTGCTGACCATGCCTATCTACATGATCTTGAATATCTTGTGACCAAGAGATTGAAAATCAAGTAGAATTAAGGTATATTATCATCCTTCTGTTGAAGACAGTATGAATTTGTTTATATGTATGCCACAGTGATGAAGAAAATACAAAAGACTAAATTCTTCTCTGCTATAACAGCAAAGCAAAACTTTTCTAGAACAGAATCCCCCACTTGCCTTTATTTAATGCCATAACCCAATTACCTGCCTACCCCTCTCTCCCCCACTCTAATCACTTCTTTGAAATACAAGGATAGTAAAGAAAAGATGATCAACATCTAGGATAACCTTACGGGCTTTTGGGAACAATAAAGTGAGAGTAAGACTAGAATCTTGGCTTTCCTTGAATTATTTGCATGTACAGAGTTACTCAGGAATGTCTGCATCTACAGATTTGGAGCCTCCTTAGGGTTCAGTTTTCAATATTTCAGATTTTCAGGATTTTACATGTCTGGGTTAATTTTGGAGGGTACTCTGTAAAATGGTTCACAAAGAAAACATCAGTATTTCTGCATCTCCTTTGTACTCAAGTTCTGGGAAAACATCTTTGGAAAGCATTCAACTTGTGATAAATTTTTGGTTTTGAACCCTGTTTGTTACCTCATTCCAGTGTGAGTTTTCCCTGAGATACTTGTCCCATTATTTGACATTGTTACCTAGGGGATATCTTAGAAAAGTGAAACAGAGCAATAATCCCCTGCAGTTTCAATGCCTATTGGATTTTCTACCTTTTTTTAAAGAAAGAGTTTTCTGTTGTAGCTTAGAGAAATTGCAAGGCTTTTAGAAGCAAAACTAGCATCACATTTGCAGACAAAGAACTATGATTTCATTCTTGTTCTTTCCAAATGGATTAGAAAATATTGTCCAAATTGGGCACCATGCCAAGATTGCCATTAACTTTTCCCATAAAATATGATTAAGGACCTTAACAAGCATTTAGTAATTAAGTGAAGTGCTTTGGAAATTTATATGCTGTCCACAGTTTGTCATGTTCTGTAAAATACTGAAGACAATTTTTATGAAAAGCAATAAAAGTAAAGCACTTGAGAAACATCTGGGAGTGTTATCTGATTGTGAGGGGGAATAGTTTCATTTGTAACAGAATATTTTGATATTTAAAATTAATGTTGTGTATAGTTGATTTTTGTTTGTTCTTTAGGTTAATGAATAATTGACTGAATTAATGGAGTAATTCCTATAATTGTATATCCCATTCTAGTGTCCACGTTGCTTCATTTTGTACCCTGAGTTGATTATTTTCCATGTACTCCATTAATGTGTGTACTGTTCTATATTTGGTTTCTGGTTTCATTTAATGCAGCTGAATTTGCTGAAATAACAGTGCAAAGAGAAACGGTAGTGCTGAACAGACACTGAATGTAGCTGATTTTTTCTGTGGCATGGCAGGAAAAAACAGTATAGGCTTTCAGTCTGATAATGCTCAGTGGATGGTAGGGTGCTGCTTTGTTTTTTAGCTTTGCTAACAAATAAAAAGGTTGGTCTGTTGCTGCTGAAGTAGCTTTTATGTTCTATGGCCACTCAGTGTGATTTATGAGTAATTTTCTCTGCAAGCCTCTTTTCCTTCCAGTAGTCCCCAGGCTTCCTTTGACACAGAGTACATTCTGGATCATGCAACAGGCTTAATGGAATAACAGAACTAGATTAGCTTTGTTGTGCTTTCTGAGGGCACTAATTCAAACCTTAAATTTGGGAGAAGATGCTTTTCAAAACTGCAAAGCTATGGAAAGCAAAATCTACTAGAATTTAAGGTGGCTAGATTTTTTAATCAGCTCAATTATTCCAGATTATTGAAGAATAAAAAGGCTATTCCAATCTGTAGTCTGCACCCCTGCCTTTCAGGGGTGAGCACATTACGATGTGAATAACTTCTCTCATGGATAAAATAATAAAAAGGGGAGAGAGCTTTTATTCATGTATATTATACGAATCAATGTTTTAATGACTGGAGGATCCACGTGATCCTGTCCTATGAGAGTTAGCTTGCAAGGATGCATTATTTTCAGTGTTTATTTTCATACTTTATTGCAACTAAAATTTGGTTACTGCACTCTGTATTTCCAGCCCATGTCGCAGCTCGGCTACCACCTTTAGTCACATCTGTTCCTTGTGCACAGGCAATGGATCTGGATGGTAGGGATACCTTGAGGTTTCCAGTGGAGTATCTTTTTTTTTTTTTTTTTTTTTTTAATTTTTTCCTATATGTTCCATAGTTCAGTTTGTTTTTTTCTTGTCCTGTTTTGTTTTAACCTTGGCCAGAATTGCTGCAGTGGTAGCTGTTGCCTGGCTCTCACTGGATGCCTCATCCAGGCAGCAAAGCCTACCAGGTGTTTCTATTTTCAGCTGCCCCAGCAGGTTTTAGGAGCTTTTCAACCAGCAGAATGAGTTTTGTGATCAGAGAATCACAGAATGGTTTTGATTGGAAGGCACCTTTAAACATTATTTTTTTTTTCTTAAGTGGTGCTGCAGAGGCAGAGAAACTGATCTTATCACAGAGATATGCAAGATATTTCCTCTGCCTATGAGATGCTCAATGATAGCTCATCGGTGGTGAAGAGCTAATTTGCTTATAGGGTAGAAAGAAGAAAAATTCCTTTAGCGTTCCTGAGCTGAAGGAGATGGGAGAATAACTCAGTGCTTCCCGTGTGTTCTTCACTAAAGTTCTTCTTTTCTGGTGTTGAGTAACAGAAGTTTTCCTGTTTTAGGAGAGGAGGATAACATGGATGCTGTCTGTACAAAACATTAGCTTCCTTTGTACAGCACAGAGATTAACAAACTTTTGTCTTTTAAAACAGTGCATGTTGCATTTGTCCGTTTTAGAGAAACTTTTTCTGGTATTATTCATGGATAAGTGAAATGTCATAGAAGGAACTGGGAGAATGTGGGTTGATGAGCTTTAGTATGCACAATAGATAAACCTGGTACAGTAAGTATGCATTCTCTATCACAGTCATGTTCTGCTGGTAAATAACGGTTTTCTTTGGCTTTTCCATTTGTGCACTAATTTTCATAGAAGGGTGCAGAAATTGTGAAGAAAAGCAGTTTGTTTTTTATTTGCATACGCATGCATGAGTGCACACAATGCAAATGCCATTTTGCTTGTATGATGCATATTTGCCCCTTGTAGCGTTTTTTGCTTTTTTATTTCTTTTTATATTGTGAGCTTGTGTATGTTTCCTCTGTCAGTACTGTGTTTCATGTTTGAGGTTCTGGTGCTATATTGTTGCAAGTAATATAAAAAAGCTTGTAGTGCATGAGGCTCAGGCACTGTTTATATGCCAAGTTTCCCAAAGTCGGTATTAAAATCTAGTCCATTGCCACAAACCACTTCATGGATAGCTTTGGTGAAAATCACTTTCAGATCCAGTTTTTGTACTAACTAGACATTAACATTTTGCACTGTACTGTCAAAGGGCAGAAGGACAGCTTTTGTCTCCAGAACAAAGAATGTTCCTTATGACTGCATAAGAAAGAGCAATAGTGCCTATTTATCACGTGTTATTCCTTGATGCTCTCTTAGCATGAAATTAAAAAAAAAAATAAAAAAATCCAACATTAGGATGGTGTCTAAAAATAGTCACATACATTTTGTTCAGGAGTTTAAATGTTTACAGGTTTTTCCTTATTCTGTTTGTTCTTTCAGTGCATTCTACCTGGACAAGTCAAACTTGCCTCCAAATTCAACATCTAAAGCGGCTTATATAGATAAGGTAAATAAAAATGTTAAATGCATAATTAAACTCTGCATGTTACACACTATGTTATTGTAATCCTTTCCAGAGGCTCTCTTAATTTCACTGAAAAATCGAATTATTTAAAGCTGAGGTGGGAGGCAGTGCCAGGGAAAGAAGGAGATCTGCTGCAGCATTTTGTCCCACCTGTGTTTTAGGGGTATGTGGTGCCATGTGGTTTGTAGCTGGAGGGCATCAGTGTATTTGAGAAGGAGAACCCTAGCTTTCCTTTTTCACTGTGCTTTCCAAGCAACGCAGTCGCTCCAGGAGCATGTGGAGGGTGGAAGGGCAGAGTTGGGGGAGAGCAGGTGCACTCAGAAATTCTTTGTTCTGAAAACTGGAAGTGCTATTCCAAATTAAATACTCCTTCAGCATCCTGCTCAGAAGGCTTTCTTCTGAACTTCCTAGTTTAGGCTTTCTTCAAATGACTTCATCTGTCTTTAAACCTCTGTGACTGAGAGATCCCAGGGGCTATGAAAATTCATTTAATGCTCTCTCTTACTATTGGAGAGTTAATGCCCATATTGTAGCCCAATAGCAGGGAAAAAAGATGTTCATAGGGTCTTGCCTACACTGGCTTCAAAAGCGTTTGAGCTACTGTGGCTTGAGAAATACAAGTGATCATCAGCTGAGCCCTATGACAGACTAAAATTTTATGTTAGTCTTATCTGGTGTGAGTGTTAACAGACTAATAGTTCCCGTTTCTTGGGTTTATGCTGGACTGCATGGGAGGGGAGGACAATGTGCCCCTCTCCTTCCTTGGTGTGTCTGCATCTTAACTTTCTAAGCAGTCACAGGTACAGCAGGAGACACTTAGCTATATGTGGAGTGCTGGTTACCCCCAAACTTGTTCCCTATCTATTTCAGTGAAAACTTCATGGACAAGATAAAAGCATCTCAGAATCCAGATCTGACCAAGGGATGCTAGGTTAAGCTAATGCATTTATTTTGCAATTGGAGCAAGCTGAGTGAGTGTATGATCTGTTCGTGGCTGTGCCTTTTGCTCTATTCTCCATAGCTCTTCATTAGTAAACGGCACTAGCGAAAATCAATTTAAATGGATGCAAGTTAAACCAATAGGGCCTAACTAAACCAAGTTAAATCTATTTGTGCCCAGGTTTAATTATGCTGGTTGTTATAATTGATTTACTTGACCTCTATGCCTTCCAATGAAGTAACCTTCATACAGGAGCAAATGAGGCTGCCATTTCCCTAATTAGTGAAAACTGTCTTTAGGGAATGTATCTGTCTTTCAAAAGAGGAATTCTTTGAGTAGCAGTGGGGTTTGTTGGAATCTTTAAGAGATTCTAGAATAAAGAGAATAGGGAATTTGGGATTATGAAGCCTGCAAAACCATCTTGTGAACATCTCCTTTACACAAAGCACCATGAAGTGATGTTTTTCATTGCTAGCCCACTCTTGAAGGTTCCTCTCCTGAGAGCAGCCGTTCGCTTAAAGCTGCCTTCTTCACGAGGTGGTTCATTTACTTTCCGTACGGTAATGCTGAGGTTATTTTAAGTTAACTGTTACTGTTTTGTAGTATGTTTTTGTCACTTCTGTTAATTTTTATTTTCCCATGTGGTTAGTTAGGATTAGGAGCTAGACATTTGCATAAATAGAGGACAGTGTTGTCTTAATTATAAGCTGACTTTCTCAGTGAGATAATTAACCAGTCTTGGCATCCTTCCTGTATACGCGTACGGTTGTAGGTTGCCTCTTCATGGCTTCCCTTCTTTGCCAGTACCATTAATGGAAATGGCATTGATGTGTCTATTCAGTCTATTGAAGCGAAAACCACTTCTGTAGGCAGGTCTGGGAATAAAACAGTCAGTGATGGTAAGAATTCAAAAGTTTGAAGAAGTTGTCATAGGTCATGTAACAGAAGACTGTGTGTTCTGTATTTATGTTATGGAATTTGGCTTCAGCTTTCTGAGGCAGCACTGCCATTTCATCTGTATCTATGATGACCTATTCTACAAGAGCATTTTCATGTGCTTTCAGCAGCAAATACTTAAATATATCTCTCTCTCTTCCTCTCTTGCAGCTGATGAGGCCTCTCAATTGCTTGGATGAACTTTACCGGCTCATAGGGTCCTTTATCCGGTCCAAGCGCACGGCTGCCTGCGCATACACTGCGTGCAGTGCTTCTGGAGTTGGGTTGCTTTCAGTGTCTTCCGAACTCTGTAGCAGGCTTGGAGCTTGTCACATTATTATGTGCAACAGTGGAGTTCACCGGTATGACAATTTCTTCTCCTCTCTTTGTTTCACTCAGTCATTGCAGGTTGGATACCGCTGCTTTTTATTTATAGAGAGGTCTTAGGCTAAATATCTAACACAATTGAAATATTTGTGGTGAAATTCTAGAATAGTATTTGCACTGATTGACAGAAATGAACAGTATTATTTTGTTTTGTGCAGTTATAATGGATTGTTCCTCATTCAAATCAGAAAAAGGCAGAAATCTTAATTGCTAAAGCAGAAAAAGGAAGGTTTCCTAGGAGAATAACTCATGCTATATTAAACTCTTAATACAGGCAAGAAATGCTGAAATTTGTATTTGCTTTGTAAGCTAGGGGGAATTGTGGTAGAGCTTGTTTCAAGGAAAAAAAATGAAACAGAAGAGATACACGTTTTTGCAGGTGTGCTTTATGAGAACTGGAAATTCAGCCTTTAGAGCGTTGGTATCATTAATACAATATCAATAAATGAACTGAGCTATAATCAACCGATCTTTGTCATCAATGCTAAGATTTGAATACACACACACACATATATATGTATATGACAATAGTGTCATTACAGAACTCTCTAGTACTTAATGATATTCATCAAAGGCAGCAATATGTTTCTGTTCCAACTGAGCAGATTACAATTTTTTTGTACATTATACCGAAAAAAAGAAGACTACAATTGCAGAGGGAAAAACCCCAACAAACAAGAAAACAAAACATAAACAAGATATCTGCTCTTTTTGTAAGAATTGCAAACTGTAGATTACTGGTAGCAATATGTTAAAAATATGCTACTTAGTTTCTGATCTATGCAAATCCTTACTTTAGCAAGCTTGGTTACCAGTACATTGTGTTAGAATGAGCATTACTTTCTCCTCGTTTTAAGCAGTGTCCTTTCTTTGAAAGAGCTTTGAGGAGGAAAGAAAAAAATAACATAGCTGCAATGCAGATTGTCAAGCATGAAAACCTGGAAAAGCTCCACATATAGCCGACACAATTAAGTTGTATAAAAACAGTGCTTGCCTTTTCTTTTAACAGAGTTTGTAACAGACTATATTACTCTCCATCAATGATGCAGGTGTATATAGGATGCAGTATACTGTACTTGATTTTAAGCAATACCAGAAAAAGGCTGTACTAGTCACTATATCAGATGAAGATGGAAATACTATATAGCATGGACTGCCATGAAGTTGTCATTTCAGAAGACTATGAAGCTATACAGTTTTTTTCTGTCTCTTGATCTTGGTTTTGGTTTCATTTCTTGTGTGATCAGAAAAGACTTTGGGCTTAATTCTGCTATTTTTTTATAAAGCTGAAAAAGACTACCTCTGGATTTCATTGTTATTTGATGGATTGTATTCTGAATTTGCCACTATATTTGTGCCAAAAATTCTTACAGTTTAAGATTAAAGTCAGAGCAACTTTAGTAGCCCAAATAAACTATTGCCCCACAGTGTGTGGGTCACAAATTATTCAGAATAATTTGGTGACTGAATAAGAGATGGTATGCTTGATTCTGAACATGAGATGTTCTTAGTTGGAAATAAATTCAATTTCTTTTCAAAACTAGGGCTCATTCAAAGTTATAAACTATTAAATATTTATTTAAGTATATTCAAGAAACACAAAATATTAAGAAAAACAACATAATTGATTTCAAGATTATATTTTGTAAACAGGAATGGGATTTAAATGTGTTATGTGTGGGTTTCCATCTAGATCTTAAAGGATTCAATATCACCTCTTTACGTAAAGTAAAGGTGCAAAACACTTTTCTCTAAAGCACGACCAGTTTTGCTTTACTGGAAGCCCATTTGAGTTTTTGTGCAAGATACTGTTACTCCACTTGTGCATTCATACTGCCTTTGTGGCTACCATCTGCTCAGAGAAAGAAACGTCAACTCTTGGCATTATCAGAGACGTTTTATGATAGACCCTCCAGGAAAAAGGAATGCATTATTTGAGATTTTATAGGTACTCAAGGAGTTTTGGCCCCGAATTTCCAAAAGTTCAGAAGAAAACTCAAATATTTAGAGATGAAGGGATTCTGGTGCTATTAGTTTTTTAACTGGTAAAAGTTGAGGAAGTTTTTTAACAACAGTTTCCTGAAGTTACTGTTGTGCATATAAACTGGATGGATGAAGAAGTTTCTCCTTAGAATCTGAAGTCATATAAAGTCACTTCATATGCTGCTTTCTCTTTCTGGCATCCCTAGGCCATATCTCTACAGTCCAGCACTAAGTAGGTTCTGCTTTTTGGCATTCTGAAATTGCCTTTGCCCAGATAGAAAACTTGTTTACAGCTAGTAGACTTGCTGGGTGAAATATTTTTCTGACATTTCTACTGCTAAATTCTGTTGGTTTTGTTTTTTTGGGTTTTTTTTTGTTTTTTTTTTTTTTTCTGAGCTTACTCTGCTTGCTGCTCTGCAGAGTGAAACTGTCTTGCAGCACCATGAAGTCCTGTGAGGAGGACAGAAGAGGGAAGATTAAGACACTGGATTTGATCAAGCTCCCATAGACATAAATGGTTTTGCTGCCTGCAATCTTGGAGGCTTAATTCTTCTATTTGTTAGAATGTTATTTAGTCAGGGCAGATAATCTTGCAAAATAGGGCTCTTTAATTTGTAAGCTAGTTCTTCAGAGTTCAAGCTACTGATTTTCAGTAAGAGAGGATATTTATCTCTGGTTGTATTCAGCAGTGTCTGGCCTTCTGTGTTCTTAGAAAATAAATGCTGTGAAGTGCTTGATTGTGATCAGTTGCAGAAATCCACATTTTGTAGGCCCAGACAAAGGACTTGCAACCATTTTTTAATACTATGCTATGAATATTAAATGAGTTGAGAACTGGTATTATCTACAGATGCTACTAGGCAAGGAGATGGGGGAAAGCTGTGAATTGTCCTTGCAGGTTAAACTTTTAAAGTATATTCTTCCCTTATCAGTCTTGTCAGTTTAAAAATGAAGAATAATCATCTTGGAGCAATGTTCCTGCATGCTTTCCTTTTTTAAAAAAACCCTCATTTTAGCCTAATTTCTATGATTGGTCTCTAACGGGAGAGAATGTCTGACAGTCTGTGGAAGAGTCCCGGGTGTTCTGCTGGTCAGCGTTTTTTTTTTGTTCATGGGGAGTGGGAACTGAGCGAACCATTAATCTGTCAGAATTTAGATATGTTTAATAGACTTTAAGCAAAATATATATGAACCTTCCCTCACTCAATTTATCTGTTTCTTACTAAACTGACTGGAGAGGCCTTTCTGTGTTTTCTCAACTTAGGTGTCAAGGATTGACAGGGGGCGGGGGAAAGAGGGGGGAGAAGAGAGGGGTGCCTGCCACCCCCTCCTTCTGAACAGAAGCGAATCCCAGATAGCTTGGGAGGGAGGTGCTGGGGGGCAGTCCAATGCAGAAGAGGCCAACAAGTATGAAACAGCAGCTTTGTCTGCTTTGACAGTGATTGCTGATCTCTGGATCAGCAGTGTCTTGGTTTCTGACTTCTCTGTGATCCATATTAAATTGCTTTTTACACTGTACTAGGCTAAACCAGCTTGACAGAGTTCATATTTTCATCCCTATATCCAAGATAATGCTGGGGATTTGGAACTGCTGGTGATTGCTTTGCTTTGATTTTTATTATGACAATATGTTTACCAATTTACATTAGAGCCTGAAATCCTGTATCTATTTCAGACAGCAGTTCTTTTCAAATATATTTCTATCAGCAGGAAAAACAAGGATGGGGAAAAATAAGTCCCTTTAACCTTCGCTGTCCTAAGTGACATGTGAATACTACAAACTCTCCATGGATTATCGTAAGCGAACATGCCTTGTTGATCAACATCAGGAACAGAGCTCTAAATTAGTTCAAGAAATCAATAGTTTGCATTTGTATTTTCCCTTTTTCATCATCCATAATTATATTTCTGCCTGCCAATCAGCTGGCACCCTGTAAACAATGCTTTGCTTTCTTTACTTGTATTCGTTCTGTTTGAAGTTGCAGTCTCTCTGTACAAATGTAGGTGATGAAAGGCACTTTTAAATTTTATTGAATCATGATGCCAGCTCTCTCTGGAGGGAGAAGAGTGAGACTGCATTGCACAGACATGTCCTAGCCTCTTTCCATGCCAAAATGAAATTAGGTGCAGCAGCTGCAGAAGTTTGTTCAGGGACCGTTGGCCTTACAGGCTCAAAGGAATCATTTAAAGTATCCAAATGAAACAAATCCCAAGTTTATTTAAAATTTTGCATTTCCTGGAGGGTCAATAGAAGAGAAGTCTTTTATAATTTTGATGAACCCCGTAAAAATCGCTGTTTTATTGCCTTTTCTGAATTTTAATTTCCCCTCCAGAAAGTCTCTCCTTAGTGTTACCATTCTTCAAGCAGTGGGCTTCTGGCTGGCAGACGCTCGGCTGAATGATGAGGCAGGTTTTGCCAAGGGTTGATTATGCTGTCTCCTGTGGCTGGCACAGCTCCTGCAAGCTAGCTAAACCTGCTCCATCTTCCACATAGCAAAGCAGAGTAGCACCATAAGCTGTCCGTCATGGCTAGCTGCCTTTCTGTGAACCAAATGAAGCAAGATGAAAAATAGGTACTCTGAATTTATATTTTTTAGACATTACTTTGTCAGAGTTATTCCTTTTAGAGTATTTTAGACGCCTTTCTGTAGGAATTTAGTTCTGAGCTCAATGACTTTGTGCTACAAAAAAAAAAAAAAGTCTCCTTGAAGTTTTGCAGCTGCATTTAGGTTGGTTATCATCTCCGCAGTAAGAAGGCATTCTGGGATCGATGGGACTACTTTCAGGAGGCAGGTCAGCACAGGCTGAGAAACTAATCCTAGCTCCTCTCCAGCCTTCTGGTCTAAACTGTGCTTTTAGTCCTGCTAACTTCCCCTTTAGTCAAGGTTGCCTTCTATTTTTTAAATGGCAGTTTTATTATGTGTGTCCACAATTCACGTATTTTTGTGACACGTACTGAGGTATAAGCAAACTTTTTGTAAAATAATTTAGG